GTGTAGAGCTGGATGAACACAGCAGGCCAAGCAGCATCATAGGAGCAGGAGCTGCTTGGCCTGCTGTGTTCATCCAGTTCTACACCTTGTTATCTCGGATTCTCCAGCATCTGCAGTTCCTACTATCTCTGATACAATTGTAGAAAGCGGTTGAGTTGAGCTCATTGCAGTGGGTCTGGAGTTGCCTGTTGGTCTGACACCTCCTGAATGAACCAGGATGACTACCAAAGACCACAGCTGGAGAACTCTGTACAGTTTTGATCCCTCTTACTCCGAGGGATGTAGTTGCTTTGGAGGCAGTTCAGAAAGAGGTTGGTGAGATTTATTCCAGAAATGAGGGGTCTGTGATTATAGAGACTGAGCACTTTAGGCTTGTACTCTGTTGAGTTTAAACAAAATAGAGGAATCAGAGATTTAATTGAGGCATGTAAGATGCTAAAGGGGATTAACAAGGTAAATGTAAAGTAGATATTTCCACTTGTGGGGCAATATAGAATGGGAGGTCATAGTTTTAGGATAACAGACGGCAGTTTTAAAGCAGATGAGGAGGAGTTACTGCTCTCAAAGGGTCGTGAATCTGTGGAAAACACTCCCCTAGAGTGTGGTGGATACTGGGACATTGAGTAAATTGAAGGAGCAGATAGATTTTTAACTAGTAACAGATTGAAGGGTTATGGACAGCTGGCAGGAAATCAGCTATGATCGAATTGAATGGCAGAGCAGCTAGAGGGGCTGAATAGCCTACTGCTGTGTTAAGGCATTGTGAGACTTGTTATGTGCCACAAATATAGGCCAGTCGCTTTTAAGGTCAAATTGCAGAGAATTTTTTTTGAGGGTAGTTAGCATGCGGAATTCTTCAAATTTGTTCAAGGTTGAGTTTGCTAACATTGTTAATTAATGCAGGAGTTGAGGGTATAAGTGAATGTTTTCCTTTTATGTACTAATGCTGCCCAACTAGGAAACTGCTCCTCGTTATTTCATTTACTTTGTCCGTTTCCTGCAGGGATTGTTTTGCTGGGTCCTTGTGGAATCTCTTGGCCACGTTCTCTTGTTGGGGCAAGGCTTTACACACTGCCTGGGCTGGCTTTTTTTAAATTTCTGGGGCACAGAGTGAACTTTGCACTGTCCAGTACTCGAGGTGCTGTAGTCATTGTCTACTTCAGTGCGGGATTCCACTCGCACCCTGCGTCAGTCACTCGAGCCGAGCCGACCTGACCCGACCCAGCCTGCCAGACTGATTTTTAACCCAATATCTGCTGCCACTGCCTACTTTTACTGGAAGGTTGAGTGGTCAGTGTCCTACTCCTGAGACCCGAGCAACAAAATCAAGACCACCCCTTTCGTTTGCAGTCCAGCAATGATCGTGCATCGCCCCTACCAGAGTGTTTCAGAAGAGATGCTAAAGTCAGACCCTGTCTGCCCTCTGTGGATAAAGATGCAAAAGCACAGTTTCGGATAAGAGCAATGGAGTGCTTTACAGTGCTCTGGTCCATATTTATCCCCTCACTGAGAAGTCATGAAAATAGACCAGTTTATCTGATCTTTATTATTGTTTGTGGGAGGTTACTGTGTACAAATTGGCTGATGCATTTCCTAGCTTACAACATTGGCTGTAGAGTTTTGAGGCCACTTGTGATGATGGAAGGTGCTACGTTAAATGCAAGTATTTTTTTGTTGGGTGGGTGTGTGAGAATTAGAATTGGTATTAGAGGTCAAAGATACTCAGGACTTTTTTAAGCATTCCTTAGTGTCTCAAACTGCCATCTCCCCGCAACTATAAAAGTACAAAGTGTGGGTTTATTTCAAACACCTGTCTGACTTCTGTCCCAGGATGCTTCCCAAAGCTGTCTGGGAAATGTCTAAGTTTGGAAATGTTTGTAACTTTCCAACTGCTCCATGAACGGTGCTGTTGGGGTAACTGGCAAGCAGGAGCACCCAGGCAATGGACCCTATTTGGTTTCAAGATACCACTGTGATGAGTTCCACATTTTCTAACAATCGGAATGAGGGGTCTTGTCACAATCTGCGATCAGACTGTCTGCCTGTCTGTTGCTCACTCATTCACTTAGTAAGAGAGTCAGGAAATCTGGCTGGTTTTGATTATTCTAACTTCTGTTTGACTTATGACACATCTTTTTGAATATCAGTTGTGACATTCTGATAGCAGATTTCTTGCGTGTGTATGCACACACAGACACACACCATACACATACAGAGTTGGGATTGCTTAAATGTTGTTTTGAGCCCTCGTACTGCCACCCGTACCTTAACCAAGACCCTTCTCTTCTCTCCCCCCCCCCCCCCCCCACTATAACCATCATTAAAGTAGATTAACAGAAGCTAATTAAGACAAGTATACTGCAAAAGAGTTCTAACACTTGCAATATGAGTTAGAACATAGAACAGTACAGGCCCTTCGGCCCACAATGTTGTGCCGAACTTTTACCTTAAACCTAAGGTCTATCTAACCTCCACCCCTACCTTTATACTATCATCCATATCCTATCTAATAGCCACTTAAATGCCCCTAATGAGGCCGACTCCACTACCCTGTCTGGCAATGCATTCCACGCCCCAACCACCCTTTGAGTAAAGAATCTACCTCCACTCGCTTTAAAACTATGTCCCCTCGTAATAGCTACCTCCACCCTAGGAAAAAGTCTCTAGCTGTCCACTCTATACTTCTGATCATTTTGTACACCTCTATCAAGTCACCTCCCATCCTTTGTCATTCTAAAGAATTGCATTAGAGCTCTATCCAATTATTTATCTCTGAAAGCTCGGTGAGCTGAGACAGATTTTTGATACACAAGGGAGTCAGGAGTCGTGAGTCGAGCGTTATGGTCAGGGGGGTGGGCTAGACCGGAAGATGCGCTGACATCAACATCTGATCAGACATTACCTTGTTAAATGGTGGAGCAGGCTTGAGGGGCTGATTGGCCTTCTAATTTATATTATATTGTGTTTTTATTCTCTATTATTTTGAAAAACATTCTTTGTCTTGTCTTTTTGTCTCCCCCCTTGCATGTGCTCACACTGTCTCTCTCTGGTTTTGTTAATGTTGCTCGCAATCATGAAGAATTTTGATAGTGTAACTCCGGAGAAACTTTTTTTATTCCTGTGTGAGAAGGAAAAGGAACTTGCATTTATATAGATTTAGATGTTAGACGTTGATTTATTGTCGTGTATATATAAAAACAAAGTGAGAACTGTTTTCTCGTGTGTTAGACAGTGTCATTATGTTCCTGTGCATAGAAACCATAGAAATGAAATCTTGAAACACTGAATATAATGCATGATTTTACTGCACTAGAGTTCATCTTTCACTCTCTCTCGGTCTTCCTGTGCTGCTCCTCCAGTTACTGCTTGACATTGGCTGGGGCCTCTGTTACAGGCTCAAGGGCCTCGGTTACGGGCCTCTGACCCCGTCGCTCCACAACCATGGTGTCTGAGCTGGAGCCACAGGCCTGGGGACGCGCGGGTTCCATACCTCCTGTTCCCCATCCAACGCTCTTCCAAACGCTGCCACCGTCTGTCCCTTTTACCGATGCTTAACCGCACCTTCAGATGCGAGGGTTGAGCTGCGGGCCAGGAGCCTCTGCTCAGTCTGAGAGCCCGATCCAGGAGAGTCGGTCAGGACCTGTTCCTCGTTTGCTGGGAAACCCCGAGCTTGGGTGGAGCCATGTCTGGCTTGTCCTGTTGCTGTTGCTGCTGGATGCCGCTTCCTTCACCCACCCCTCTCCAGAAAACAAAGAAAAAGCACCTTTACCCCACCCCTCTCCCCAAACATGAAACCCAGGGCCTCACAGTTAACTAACTTTTTTTGCATGCAGTCACTGGCTTTGTAGGTAAACATAGTTTTAAACTGTCCACAAACAACTGGGAAATCCACCAGCAATTGCTGTATTTGTGATGGTACTGGTTGACAGATAAACACTGGGGCCAAGAACATTTTGCTGTCCTTGGAATGGTGCCTGGGGCTTGTTTTATACCCAGGCATTTGTGTATCAATTTAAACTGTTGTCTGGAGATCCTTGTTGCAAACTTTACAACCCCGCTGTCCCAAATATTACTGTACAGAGTCTCTGATGCCCAACACAACAATAATCTTGTATTTTTATGGCACCTTTTTAATGTAACAAAACTCTTCCAGGCACATCATGGGTGTGACAAAATAAAGTCTAATACCAAGCCACCTAGAGAGAGATCGGATCAGGGACAAAATGCTGGTTCAAATGGTAAGTATTAAGGAGGAAAGTGAAGTGGAAAGGCTTCGAGGAGGAAGTATTCCAGAGCTCAGGCTCAGGAAACTGGATCTACCAATAATGTAGCGATTTATTTTTGGGAATGTTTAAGAGGCCAGAATTGGAGGAGAGCAAAGATCTCAGGGGGTTATGGAATTGGACTGGAGGAGATTCCAGAAATGCTGAGAGCCAAGGCTAAGAAGGGATTTGCAAACATGGATGATAATGTTAATGTCAAGGAAATTTCATGGTTGGGATGTAGTGCAGGAATTGGAATAATCGTTGAAGAGGACTTGATGTAAGTGATGACACGGCAGCAGAATTTCAGCTGAGATAGTAGGAACTGCAGATGCTGGAGAATCCGAGACAACAAGGTGCAGAGCTGAATGAACACAGCAGGCCAAGCAACATCATAGGAGCAGAAAGGCTTTCAGAATTTCAGCTGACCTTGGGGTTATAGAACCATAGAAATGAAACAGCACAGAAGGGGGCCATTTGGCCATCTTGCCCGTGCTGACCCAAAGACACTCTTTCTAATTCCATCTTCCTGCACACCGCCCAAAGCCATGGTGGATAGTCTGTGACAGATCAGCCTGGAGTTTAAAAACCCTTTAGCTCAGCTGTGAGTGGGTACTTGTTTACATGGCATATTGATGCAGCTTTTCTTGTTGCTAATACACTGAAGGCTGCCTCCTCTCTGGTCTGATTGCCTGTCCTTTTTTTTTTCTCTCTCTCTTTTTGCTGTTCTTCCCACAGTCTCAATTGATGACATCCAGGAGTTGCGGCCTGGCCACCAGTCTGAGGGCATGCAGAAGTTTGCCATGGAGATCCCCGCTGCCCGTTGCTTCACCATCGTCTTCAAGGGCAGGAAGAAGAACCTGGATCTCATTGCCAGTGACGCAAAGGAAGCCAAACACTGGATTGACGGCCTCAACAAGCTCAAGAAGAGAGATTCCAAAATGAACAAGAGAGAGCGTCTGGACCAGTATCCTTTCCTGGGAATCCCGCATACACTGGGTGGGGGGAGGGAGTTGGGAAAGAAAAAGTTCTATACTTGAATGTCCCTCCGTCCCTCACCAGTGTTGACTACCAGCAGTGCATGTCATCTAAACGATGCAGTGCAGCAACTCAGAGGGTCCTCAAAATCAATGACCTCTACCATCTACAAGAACAAGGGCAGCAACTGCGAGGGAACACCACCACCTACAAGTTCCCCTCCAAGTCACTCACCATTCCAACTTGGAAATGTATTGCCCCGTTCTTTCACTGTCACTGGATCAAAGTCTGGAATTCCGTCCCTAATGGCATTGTGGGTCCACATAGACAAGGGCTGCAGGCTCAAGAAGGTAGCTTGCAACCACCTTCCCCAGGGTGATTTAGGAATGAGCATCCCAGCCAGTGAAACCCGTTTCCCAAGAATAAATTTTTCTGTGTCTCCCCTCCCAACCCCCAACCTTCTTGCTCCCAAATGCTACTCATTGGAAAGTCTGCCTCTGTCCTAGCAGATGCTTAAACAAATGACAAATGTTCACAGAAAATGCACAATTAGAGAATTAACCCAAGCATTCTGCGTGAGACGCCTTGCCAATAGAATGGAAAGCAGGCTATTTGACAACAGGAAGCTTCACACCTGGTTTGGACCTCTCTGTTCCCCACTGCCTGTTTACTGGGAGGCATGCATGCTCCCATTTGGGTGCAGTCAGGATAGTGTGCCACAAGATAGAGAGTAAAAAAGGAATCCAGCCGCCCCTCACCCTCCCGGACTGCAGAATGCGAATCTGTATTTACACGTGCCTTCCTCAATCTCTAGCCAACCTCAAAGTTCAGTGTAGCCATTGAACTACATTTGAAGTATAGCCTTGGTGGGAATATAGGAAGTGTAGCTGTTAATTTGTGCACAGCAAGACCCCCACAAACAGCACTGTGATACTGATTGAGGGATGAACATTAGCCAGGACATGGGGAGAGGAGGGTGACGCACCCACCACACCCCCCCCCCCCCCCCCGCCCAAACCCACACCCACCCACCTTGCCTGTTTTTCAGTGTGATGACAGTGATCTTTTGCATTCACCTGAAAAAGGTGCTTGGAGTCATGTCTCACTTGCCTCAGTGATTGGAGATGTCCCTAGAGCAAGTCGTCCCTAACCACACGTCCCTAGAACAAGTTTAAAATAAATAATCCATGGTAACTGGTATCCGGGTCACGTTTACAAACCTGCAGATAAGTGGAATCTGGCCTGAGTAACCTAAGCAGTGACCAGATAATGCTATCGCCTGCTCTCAGAACAATGGGCCCTAGGATCAGTGCCAGCTCCCAAAAGGAGCCTTCCTTTTTTTCTCCCACATCTGTTATTCCACACAGCAGACAGTGAGACCATGGTGGCTGATAACATTCATGTGTTGGGCGGGAGTGGGGGCGTTGGAAGCAGTGCGGGGGCAGGGATGGAAAAGCAAGCGGTGGCCTGGAGGGAGACGGGTGAACTACTATAGCCTTGCAGTAATTATGGGAGCGCAGGAAACCTGCCCTGACCCCTCCAGCTTCCTGAAGCAGGATTGTTCAATGCAAGGCCACTATTCACTGATACCTTGTGCAGTTTGGTGGATAATACTGTGACTGAGAGAGTAATATGCAGAATAATATGAATCCAATTTGCCACTTTTCTGAAAAATGCTGTCCTCAGAGCTCCCCTTGCTCTTCAGATGTTTACCGGATGTTTATTTCTCAATCTGCAGCATGTAACCAGATAACCTGGGTTTTTTAAAATCATGCTATTGTTTGTAAGATCTTGACGTGCAGACTGTTTATCATGTTTCCTAAAGCACAGTGAATCCCATTCACCCTCACCCTTTTACTCGCTGACCTGCTCTCTGTCCACTGATGTCTCCATCTCTTCATGTGTATTCTAGTGGCCAAGCCACCATGTCACCTCTGCCATCCCTGCTCTTTGGCCTTGCAGCCCTGGGCAACCTGTAATCTTATCCAACCCTTAGCGGTCCTCCCCATCTCCTTAATCATCTCTAGCCCCTACCTATTCTTGATATCCTTTCAATTCTGGCTGCTTCCACCCTTGTCACTCCATTGGCCATGCCTTGTGCTGCCTACACTGAGCTCTGGAGCTCTTGTTCAATCACCACAAAATCTCTCTGCCTCACTACCACTGCCCCTTTGTGTTATTTGTTAAAACCGACCTCAAATGCAAGGACCTGCCCTGCTAATATCACCTTGTGTAGTGCGGTGTCAGTTTTGCATCTTGGGATTGCTACCTCCCAACTGAGGTGCTGTACAGGTGCTAGTTGGGATCTCTTGTCAGCCAAATAATCCCAATTTGCCTTCCAGAGCTTTGAGAACAGCAACTTTCTCCTCTGAACGAGCAGTAGTGAAGTGTATCCATTTTGTATCCTGGTGCTACTCTTCAAGTTTGCTGTCTACACCATCATGTGAATTCTGCAACTGAGCAGAATTTGCGTACCTTTCTCTGAAGGTTTTCTTGTTTGTACACAGTTGCTTATTTCGAAGAATATCAGACCTGATCTGTGATCCTCTCCAAACTGATCTTGATTTGATGGAGAAAATTGTGATATTTATGGGTACACGAATACTGCCACCATTCCACTGTTCTTGACTGGGTCCAGAGGCCTGTTTGGTTTACAGGAGAGAGGCACAATAACAAGAGAGTCTAAATGGGTTGAAGCTGTTGTCTGAACAAGGTGTAGTTTATTGCATGGTAGCAATTTGCTGTATATATATTTTTAATGAACCTGCGCAGACACTTTGTGATATCTCTGGGCCATGTGAACCTGGGCCCCCTGACTATTAGGTATAGGTTTTTGTAACAACGTTTAACTTGGGAGACCGTAGATGATATGTTTGTCCCCTTCAAAGTCCAGCTCTATTTTCTGCAATTTCCCACCCAAGAATTTTGAACTCCTAGGTGATGGCCTAGTGATATTATCACTGGACTGTTAATCCAGAGACCAAGATAATGTTCTGGGGACCCGGGTTCGAATCCCACCATGGCAGATGGTGGAATTTGAATTCAGTAAAATATCTGGAATTAAGAATCTAATGATGACCATGAATCCATTGTCGATTGTCGGGAAAAACCTATCTGGCTCGCTAACGTTCTTGAGGGAAGGAAACTGCCATCCTTACCTGGTCTGGCCTACATGTGACTCCAGACCCACAGCAATGTGGTTGACTCTAAACTGCCCTCTGGGCCATTAGGGCTGAGCAATAAATGCTGCCTAGCCAGTGACGCCCTCATCCTGTGAATGAATAAAGAAAAAAAAAAATTGGGAGTTGGTTGGAGTTTATTGCAGGCACCAACATTAATTAACCCTTTCAGAACCATTATCTTGTGCAAAAAAAAATCACTAAGCATTGTCCTTTACCAAACTGACTTGTTAGTTCTTCTGCAGGGTGGCACATTGACTGAACTATTAGGTACTCAGCAGTAGCTAATGATCAGTTGATAGTTAATGAGCTGGTTCTAATAAACTAGTATTCTAAAGGAGGATTTGATAGTATTAGTGAGGGACTGGCAAGGATCATAGGGACCTTTTGGTGTACATGTATACTAGTCCCTTAAGGCATCAGGATAGGTGGATAAAGTGGTTAAAAAGGCATATGGTACACTTGCCTTTATTAGTCAAGGCATACAGTTTTCGAGCAAGAGGGTTATGCTAAAACTGTATAAACTGTTGGTTAAGCCATGCCTAGAGTATTGCATGAGGTGTGAGACAGCAATGGGTAGGGTACAGAGGAGATTCCCCAGGATGTTGCCTGGAGGGGGTAGAGTTTATGAAGAGGGATTGGACAGACTGGGATTGTTTTCCTTGGAACAGAGGAGACTGAGAGGGGACGTGATTGAGATCTTTAAAATTTAAGAGGGGTATAGTCAGGAAGAATTTTCTTCCCTTTTGTAGGAATCATTGACTACAGGGGGATAGATTTAAGGAAAGTGGCAGGGAGTTTCGAGGGGATAGAGTCATATAACACAGAAACGGACCTTTTGGTCCAACTTGTCCATGCTAACCAGGTACCATAAACTGAGCTAACCCTATGTTCCTGCATTTGACCCATATCCCTCTTAAACCTTTCCTATTCGTGTACCTATTCAAATGTCTTTTAAATGTTGTAATTATACCCAACTCTACCACTTCCTTTGGCAGCTCATTCCATTCTTGCACCACTCTCTGTGTAAAGAAGTTGCTCCTTGAGTCCCTTTTTAAATCTTTCCCCCTTAACCTTAAGCCTATGCCCTCTAGATTTGGACTCCTCTACACTGCCTTTGCTATTGGTCTTATCTACGCCCCTCATGATTTTATAAACTTCTATAAGATGACCCTTCACCCTCCACTTCAAAGATAAAGTCCCAGCCTATCCAGCCTTTCCTCCTAATGCAAGCCTTCTGATCCTGGCAACCTACTGGGAAATCTTTTCTGTGAGGGAAAATCAATTTCACCAAGGGGGTGGGGTCTGGAACTCACAGCCTGTAGGTGTGTAGAGCCAGAAACCCTCAAATAGATGTGCACTTGTGACTGCCAGGACATGCAAGGCTATGGGCCAAGTGTTGGAAACTAGGATTAGAAAAGTTAGGTGGATGTCTTTTTGACCAGCACAGGCATAATGGGCCAGAGGGCCTTTTACTGTGGTGTAGATCTCTATGACTCTCTAAATTGGTAGTATGACCAAGGATGTGGGTACATTTAAAAAGGCCTTGCATGAAATGGACAATGGTATAATTATCAAAAAACTAGTGAGGGACTGGTAACTAATAAGGGGCCAATCGTAGCTAATATTGAATTTAAAGTTGGAACTTTTTTTGGGGGCTCTTGTGGTGCAGTGGTAGTGTCCTTACTTCTGAACAAGGAGACCCAAGTTCATGTCCAAACTGCTCCAGAGGTGTGTCATAACATCTCTGAACATCTTGATTAGAAAATATCAGGGACATCTTTTGAAATCAGGGGAGTTTGCACCTTTGTTGCCCTGACAGGTGGAGTTTGATTCCTTGAATCACTGTACAGATGGTTTCAAATTTATCTTCAAAAGGCTGATGTGAACAAAGACAATAAAATGACGCTGGATGAAGTAAAACAGTTTCTGCGCATGATGAACATTGAGGTGGATGATACATATGCAAAGGAGCTGTTTGCGGTATGGTATTGAAATCTGATGCCCTCTGCAGGAGTGTGGGTTGGGGGGTGGTTGTCAGGGGGAGAGTGGGGGCGGATGGTCACTGTCGCTTTCGATCACATTCCTCATACCTGAGCCCAAGTAGTTGGCTGCTTCTCAACAATGTGCATCGCAACCATCCCCAATTCTGTCTCGACCCATTTTTCATTAACACCTTCCCCATTTTAAACTCCTGGTGATGTGGGGTGGGAGGTTGGGGGTAGAAATTAATTTGTCTAGCACCATTTTTGGTGAGTATTGTTTTGAATTTGTATTATTTTGCCTGATGTAATGTTGGATATAGATTCACCAGTAATCTAAAGGGAACTGAATAAATGGTTGAATGAGGAAAAAAAGTGGAGGAATATAAGGATAGAGCACTGCATTGGGACTAACTGGACTGATCTTTGAAAGAGCCAGTACAAGGGTCTTGCCCTATCCATGTGATACCTTTTCTAGAACTTTCCTGTCATTGCATCCTTTCACCTCACTCACAGACTGAAGTCTCCTTTTACATTCCACAGAAATGTGATAAATCAATGGATGGCGCAATCCATGGCAAAGAGATTGAGGAGTTTTACGAGCTGGTGACAGAGCGTGAGGAGATCAGCACCATCTTCGAGGCCTACTGTGACAAGAACCGTCTCCTTGCAGTGGACAAGCTGACAGAGTTTCTGCGGAAGGAGCAAAGGGAGAACGTAAACCAGCAGTACGCAGCACAGCTCATCCAAAAGTACGAACTCAATGAGGAAGGTAAGCCCGTGTGCTAAGATGGCCCTCGCTTCTGAAGTAGGGTTGCCATCTCTGCAAGAACGTATTCCTGGAGAGCTCGTAGTCTGACTGCACCTGCTGCCAATCGTCCTGCTCAATCCTCACGCCTTTGACTCCCCAGGCACCTTGTGGCCAATCAGAAAGTGCAAAGAATTCCCGTGACCTAATTGGATGATGCTTCATTTTCAGTCAAACAGTCTTGCTCCCGTCTCAATTTGTTTATTAAGCAGAAGGTATTCAAACAAAAGGCAATAACTGTCTTTCTTTTATGTCCCCGTTATTCCTTTCACCCTGTCGTTGCCCATGGTAGTGTCAGGAAATTAACGTTCAAATCTTCGAAACTCCAGGCTACTCCTAGCAGATTGACGTCCTACCATCGGAGGTAGTAGGAACTGCAGATGCTGGAGAATCTGAGATAACAAGGTGTAGAGCTGGATGAATACAGCAGGCCAAGCAGCACCAGAGGAGCAGGAAAGCTGACGTTTCGGGTCTGGACCCTTCTTCAGAAAAAGAA